TCTACTTATCGCATACGTAACTCGTAAGCGTATCGTAACAAACGATAATTTATTTTTTTCAATAAACCAACATAACAATAAAATGTACTATTGCGCGTGTATAGTGTACGTTTTACCGCATAATATGTCCATTAAATTATACAATGCCACTGTTTATTTTAATACATCCTTTTTCGCGTTACATAATTTTGCAACTTTTAACGAGTTTTGTGCTATACCTACTCGATGAGATTAATTTATTTCTTTTCACCCATTTGTATGAAAAATAATAATAATAATAGTAAGTAATAACATATTCAAAGTACCTACTGTATACTATATAGGATGTTATAAATGTATAATAATATCACGTATGGAATGCACGGGCTTTTTTATTTTGTTTTTTATGTGTACAATGTACATAATATATTAATATTTATTCATAACAGTTTTTAAATATTATGATACAGAGTCATGGGCATTATAGTCATACACGGATATGGATCATTTGCACGTTGCGTTTTGTCGCAGTTTTTATATGAACCAAAAATAAATCATTTATATTGGATAAACTATAATAATAAACTATGCATCTGAACAACTGAATACGGTTTACATAATATACCACGCTGCATTTGTAATTTCCTATGCGCATTATTCGATTATACAGGTGAACGCATTACTGGTTATTTATTCCATATCATTGGTTATTGAATCATAGAAAAAGGTTATATGTCGAAGTAAGGGTTTGATGGAGTACTTTGTCCACAGCGTGAGTACTTACATTATATAGGAAAGCGTGAGCTTATCATGAAAAGGCGGAATTTTGTTTTCGTTGAGCTTAAATTTCGTTCAGTATCAATTATGAGTATTATGTAATCTGAAATATATCAAAAAGCTTTAAAAATTAAATTTGGCTGTGTGCTTATATTTTATGAGGATCAGGCAGCATGTGTGACAATGTATAGATTGTGTATTCACTGATTACTTTTTGCACCAATATGTCATATCATAGAACTACGGTTCATGATATTTTATTTCATTCCACTATGTAATCTCTAATTAAAATATTATTACAAATCAATCACTTTACTCCTCATAAAATCACTATAACCCTGTTAATTTTGTTGACCCATGGGTGTGTGGTGTGTATATTAGAGAGAATGAGAGAGATAGAGGGAGGGAAAGAGAGAGAGTACAACGTATTTATTTATAACATATAAATAAAAAGGAAAATGGTTTGGCCAAGTGGTGAAATCGGTCACCGTGAAATCTTTGGTAAGGCCAGGTGTAGATAGTAATATTCCGAGAAAATGACGAATTCGGGTCGTCGTTCCCCTTAATGAAATTCCTCGCTGAGACCATCACAACTACCACAGCAAATGGTGACACTGCAGGTTAAATATATATATATATATAAAATTTATATTATATACACAGTTAATCAACGAAGTCTCGGATGGCACAGATACACAAATTGACAAACCGACCTACAACGATGTTATTACAGAGCATAGTCTATGTTATTATAAATATATTATAGATATATATAAATTATTATAGTGCTGACAACTGTGTGTTTTTATCGGTCATAACTTCGGCCGTCCAGCGACGACGACAGCAGTGTAAAAAATCTTTTTATACACTTTTTTTGTTGTTGTTGACCGGCCCCTTTCTTATAAAGGTCTCACGAACTCTAACTATCGGCCGCTTATTCATATTATTATGCATAACCGTGACCGTATGAGGAAACTGATTATTTTCTGGCATTGCTATTGCACAATTCGGGCTTTAGCCCTTGATTTACTCTGCCCCCTTCCGGGGGTACGTCCGCAGGAGGATTAAAATACCATTTTTCGTCTCCATAGATCGCGTCGACATTATATTAACGGTGTTGATAATAATATTATATCATAGGTATTCATTATTCATCCTTCCGGACGTGCGAACGGCATCCATCTACGAAAAATGACGAAGGCACTCTGTTCCTGGGCTTAAGAATGATTCAATATAATAATATGATCAACCTAACCACACTATAGCACTTTAAAAATCCGTATATATAATGGTATAGTCGTCACCGCAATCTCTTTGAAATCTCGTCTTGCCTTTTTTTTAACCAGTCGTTATTGCGTGTTCTATATTTTATCATAGCCCAAAAGGTTACCGGGACAAAAGTCCAATGGTCTGAGTGTAAAAGTTTACTTGACGGTCAATTAAATTACCCATCATTGAAATCCATCAGTAACACGTTGTATACTTGTATGCTATAAAAGCAAACAATATACAAACCATAATAATATATTATGGTTGTGATGTATTCACAATATCAAAAATTATATCATAAAGTACTTATACGAGTATATTGCACTACCATTGATAAATATATTTGAAATTACGTTTTATTGTTGATACTTTTCTAGAATTTGTTTGATTTTTATTTCAATTTGCATTATATTTGCGACATGTGACAGCTACAATTTTATTGAAGAACAAATAGTTTTTGTTTTTACATTTTTTTTTCTATCCGCACATCTAATGCGTGAAATCGTGATGACACAACAATTTTTTCATATTTTTAATTCAAATATAAATTTCTTTTTACTTGAAATTTCTTAGAAAAAGCGAAAAGGGTAACGAAGAAAAAATTACTCGTACCAATTTATTGCAATTTCAGACCACATACGTCTTATCGTTTTATAAAGAAACGAATTGTAAATGTCTGAAAAATACTTGTCAAGTGCATAAGTTTTTCAGTTTTTATTATGTCGATTGCTTGTTGTCCTATTTCTAGATTTCTGCACCGGTGCAATATTGGCACTACGTTAATCATTTCACTCAGATACAAACAACATACAGGAAAACTTTTGAGACGAAAACATTGCAAATATCCAGTTTATTTTTACCACTAGAAATATAAATAAAAGTACAGAGCCATAATAAAATATTTTTTCTGACTATTGTATTTTAATTTAAAAAAAAAATGTAATAATATTTTCAAGCAACTAGTTTTCTTGAATACAATTTTGAAAAATATTCTAAAACTTAGATTTTAAAAATTTTTAAAACTATGTGCTCTCTAAACATATTAATATATATATAATACGTATAATATAATAATAATATACATAATGGCATAATTTTGCATAATTTATCTTTACATATTACTTACTTATCGGTCAGAAACTTTAAAATTTAACTAATAATAAAACAAAATTAGTAGGTATACGTCAAATCATTTGAAAGTTCAAATTAAATTTCATAATACTACAACTTTATCTATTTTCGTTGTTCACATAATTGTTGTAGACTGTCCTATAGAATAACGACACGAGAGGCAGATAAGATAATAAAGTGAAAAGAGACCTTAATGTAATTTGAGAACCATCAAGCGTGTTTGTGAAACTTCAAAGAAGCAGTAAGTATATGATCATCAACTTTTCGAATAAATAGATAAAATATCAATAGTAAATATATTATGGTGTTTGTTGTTCAAGGTCTACAGTAGAAGTCAATATCGTTATTGAGTTAACATTTCAACACGAATACGGCTTATTTAGTGCATTAATTATCGATGCACTGATCGAATTATTAGAGAGTATAATATTTCGAAGGTTCATTTTCAGAATAATTTTAACGCAATACGATTATAGTAGGTACTTGTTCAACGAATCGATTAAATAAAAAATTAAGTTGATAGACACGATACACTTTTTTGTGAATAATAAAATATATTACGTAGCATACCTTCGTATTTTTTAATAATGCATTCATGGTGAGGAGATATGGGGGCCATAATAATAATATGGTCCTTAAGTATACTTAAAATGTCAAGAATCAAAAGTTGAATATATTATTTATCATACGATGAAAGGGGGAGACGCTTGGTGAAACACCCTGTACACTAATACTAAACATATATTATAAAAATAAAACAATAATGTTTCATAAACACTAGAAGTTTCGAACTATCTATGTACACTGTTTGCTGTATCCAGTACATCTTTTGTAAAAAGACAATAACAATAAAAATATCAATATTTTATAATATACCTTATAAATGATCGTTTTATCCACATAATATAATAGTATACACACGAGACGTATAAGCCCACGCGCGACGGTGACAATGTATTGTTTGATAATACTATACCAAAGCGATCCTCCAAAAATTTATGGAAGATGATTATTTGAGTCTGATAAATTTTTTGTATTTCTGTTAGTGTAGTGTTCAATAAGAAAACTGTGGTCTGGAAAATTTTGGTTTTCGGCACCGAGAAAAATTCTTGGGAAACACCACGTGCTCATAAGCGTATATATAAAACGCTCTAAACTCGCAGCCCATGATGTATTCCCCAGGGCGACCTATACCTGTATAATATAGTCTATACCTATAATAATGTTATACATGCCGCCCGGCCGAAAAGTAGCTCGTTAGAGTCAGTGGTGGGGAAGGGTTGAGTGAACCTAAAAGGCACCTGTGTCACCCGCACACCACCCGCGCGGTCCTCATACCTATATAATATATATTATACACTGTAACACCTCCCGCCACGCTCCATCGTAAACCTCGGGGCCCCCTCACCCCCTTATTGCACACAGCACCCTTCACGAATCGCCGCCGTCCATAGGTCGTCTTCGTCGTCGTTGTCGTCGTCGTCGTCCCTGTCCTCGTCCCCGGCCCCGTCCCCGTAACCTCCCATCACCGGACGGACGCGTTCCGCGATCGTGGCGAGGAAGGGTCAGAGAGGGCGCGGTCCCAGGGTTTTGGCGGCGGCGGCGGCGGCGGCGGCTATCGGCTATCGATTGCTCGGGACGGGGGCGCTCAGCGACTGTGTGTCAGTGTGTGTTAGTGTGTTAGTGTGTTGGCGTGCGTGTGTGAGTGTAGTTCCGGAGCAACTCGACGGCGACGCTCGGCTCGGCGCTGGAACGCACCGCCACACGAGCCACCGACGACGCCGACCGACGGCCGCCGCCACCGACGCCGACGCCGACGACGACGACGACGACGACGACTACGACGACTACGACGACTACGGCGGTGACTACGATTACGGTGGCTACGACGACGAAAACCCCGCTCCGCAGTGGGATGACGTTTACTAGGCGAGCCGGACGACCGATACGCGGCTAATTTTGGAGGGCTTTGCAACACTATTTGTAAAAACTGTTTTTTTTTCCCATCACATACACACAAACACACTTCTACACACACACACACACACACACACCTACACTCACCTCCTCACACACACATATACACACAAACACCCGCACCCACGCATACACACACACATACACATTTATATTATATTATACCCATCCGTCGCCGTCGCCGTTTGTTGTAATATACTTCGCGTGTCTCCTGCTTTGTCGTCTACAGTTCGTCCGTATCGTGTGGTGTCGGTGTCACTCACTTTCGATTCCGTGTAATACAACACAGATCGATTATCGAGTTCTCTGTCTCGTATACGACTCGCCAACTGAATTATTCAAAAATTCTTCTCGTCGTTTTTTTTGTTTGATTTCAATTTCTCCTTTCTCGAACGTAATATTTTTACAACACTCCTCCGGCACCATATCACACAGTCGGACCGACAGCAAATGGAAAGCACCGAACCCGATCGACGATCCGGCTCGGCAGTGGCGGCTTCTCGTCACCACTGACACGCGCATCGCAGGTAACTAAAATCTATATACAGCATAGTATGCGACGACAATAATCTATTGCATACCCATACATATTATGACTTACAATTTGTTGTTGTTGTTGTTGTTGTTGTTATTGTTGTTGTTTGATGTGGACAACGCGTGTTCGACCTTGTAACATTACTGCAGTGTTCACGGTGTCGTATGTGCATAAGATATAAAACGATCGCGAGGCGATGTCGTCTCCGCGGGAAATTTATCCATTGCGTACCGTGATCACGGGACAGGTCGCGATGCGCGTCTTCGAGTGAGCAATCTCGTTAACGGTTGCCGGGCAATTGATGATGAGAGGGGGGAGAGGGGATGCTCGGGGACGGTGTGGATGTCGCGTTTCGTGCAGCGGCGGCGGAACAGAGTGATATACTTATCCGCGTCAGGCGCTCGCGGCCGCCGGGACTTAAGTCTGCGGATTTGAGGCCGCAGAGCTCACACACGACCGGCCTTGCGAGGGCGGCTGCGGTACAAATCCGACGGTCTCGGGACCAAATGGACCGTGGTCACTTTATTTTTATCAACCTATGGGTGATATAATATACCAACGAACAGTGCACTCGGTGCAGCGCGTCGAGTTAGTTGACTATGCGTTTTTTGTACCTACTTTTATTGTGCACTGCTTACAACGTGTCGTGGTGGCCAGTAGCTGGTATATCAATCTTTATGGACGCAATTGGTATCCAATAATATGTATACACCCGATACCGTTATATTTTATGATGTGGTACACCGTGGTCCATTAAATATTCAAAACCTTATAGGTCGGTGTGTGTGTGTGTGTGTGTGTGTGTGTGTGTGTGTGTGTCCGGAGCTTACACGAAAGTAATATAATTATTTAAATATCTATCATAGCTTTTTGTTTTTTTTTTCAAATTTTTCTATCGACGGTATTATAATAACGCAATTATAGTTCGACCGACGTACTATTATAGTATATATAAATAATATAAAATATATCATTATAACGTAGTTGATATTATATTATCTTTGGCGTATGTAAAAGACAGTTGAAAAAATGTGCTTTAAGTATTTATCGGAGAATTTCGTTTGTTTTTGCTGTCAGCGAAGAGAACGAGCCGGATTATTCGTATTGTATTATATTTTTTTATTGTCTTGATCGAAAGTTCAACACCTTTTTATTTGGCTGATTGTGTGTGATTCTAAATTTTTATTTATTTGGCCCCGCTTAGGCCTTTTTATACATTTTTTTTTTTATAACAGCTGGCAGTCCGATACATAATAAAAAAGTGATTAATTTTTTCATTTAGTAATTATTATGGTGTAAAATAATGGTATTGTAATACCTACAATATGTATACGATTTTCTGACGCTATTATTATCCAATTGGTTTTGTGCGAGTTCAGTGTTATGCACCAGTGCTCGTGGCCGAAATTATATTTGGGACCAAAGTACCTACATTTTTTTTTTTTTAATAGTTGATCGAATTTCGGTTATTATATCTACGCGTTGTTAAACAATTATTAAACATGTTAAAAACTACTAAGTTATACAATAGTTGCTTTATAACTAGTAATGTTTTGTGTTGATAAATGCAAATGGAATAATAATAATATTATGGTAGGTACTATATTAATTGTTTGTGTTAAGATTGTTTATATTAAACTGTGTATTTTTACCATGACAATTTTTATCATAAATCTTAATACATTGTATAACCAATTGCCAGAAGACACAGAATTATCTTATGCTTAATTATTTGTATTCTGTCTAAATTAGAAGTTACAAATAAAGACATCTCGTACTTGGTGATATTATATACCTCTTGAAGTTCTTTCTATCTATAGTACTGGTACATAGTATTATAATAATTTACATTGTGAGTTTATGCATATGTTCGTTCTTTACAGTTTTTCTTTATAAAATACATAATAATATTTGAATAGTTATAATTGTTAAAGTATCTGATATGTTATATAATATTATGTATATTTACCACTTAAGATATAGTGTAACCATAGTAAGATGTTGTTAAAGTATTAAACATGGTATATAATAATGCGTATAATAATATTTCAGTTATTGGAGCTTAACAACAACTTTTTTTTCGATACATACACACATCTGCATAAAAGTTAACTTATTTTTTTATCATTATATTCGTAGACTTTATCATGTGATGTAATGGAATTCAAAGCGTATAATAATAAAATAACACGTGTGTCGTTGAACGAAACATAATTCAACGATAACGGAAAATATTTTTGCACGCACAAAAATGGTCAGAGACCATATTGATCAGTTTAAATAATTGTATTACCATACAACTAGGTAAAAAAAATATCATGTTAAAATATTTTCACCTCATTAATGACGTCATTGTATTTTTTTGAACGAAGGCATGAATTTATATTATATTATAAGCTGTACGTCATGGAAGCGTAATTATTTACATTTAGCAAGTCAAACCTTCTTGACCTATTATGAAAGTCTTAATACTATTTTTTTTTGTTTATGTATTTATATACATATATAATTTCAAATTTAATGTTCTAAATGTGAGTAAACACGAACGGCAGGTAGTACAACATATTTTTCAACCTTATACTTTAGGTATTCGCAAACATTGCGTTTTTTAGTCAACCGACGTTCGTTTACCTTTGTACCATTTCTTCTGACAACCGCCTTTTTCTAATAAGAAAAATAATAATAATCAAGTTACAACCACATATTTTGTCCATATTATACGAACAATAACCTGGTCATAGAATTATGTCCATAAAGCATTAATATTTTTATTTTTACATCTTAGTGCAGTATACGCATACGAATGTAACGATGAAAACCCATAACCATAACCTAACCATATATTCTATCTTCAGGATATGAAGTTTATGATGTAACTACGTAACAATACTATCAATATATTTTTCACCAGCAAATTTTTTTGGCAATTATTAAGTTTTCTTAATTGAAGCCTCCATAAACCAACTAACCATCGTTACAAGTCATATTGTTGTATGTTCGTATATACATGTTATACATTATCTATCGTGTTCCTTTCGATAACAAAAATTACCACATTTCACGAACCCTTAAAAAAAATTCATTGCATGTTTCTTTAATAAAAAAGTACAATATTCCTGGTTTTCCATTACATAAAAATATTTTGACTAAAGTTGTATATATGAAGTTTAGCAGAAATGATAACTTATTCGTTGACTGACGTTTGTGGTTGAGCATTTTGAGGTACGTTTATGATCTTGTTACATAATATTACTTCATTTTACTGGGTTTTTTCTGTGAAGTTGAAACTAAACCATGTCTGATTTTTAAATAATTTTCATTTGTTTGTAGTGATTAATAAGTATATATATTATACAATGTGCCTGCCTATAGCATATATAAAATAGTTTGTATATTTTATAATCAATAAAAAAAAAAATAGAGAAGTAAATAAATAAAAGGGTAACATAATGAGTTTCCACAATTTTGTAATGATTAAATAATTGATGATGATCTCATTAAATAAAACAGTAATGTTTACTTTAGGCTAGAATCCAAAAGTTTCTTTTTTCTCATACAGAAACATAATTAAAGAGGCTTGAAGTATTTTAAATACAATTATATATTGACAGTTTTCTGTGTAATAACTTTTTCGGAACTACATACATTTAAATAAAATATACGTTAGGTAATAATGTTTTATGGAAAGTCGTAATTTGAACTAAATATTAATTTTTTTTATTCTAAGTTACCTAAAATTAAGTTAAATTGTTAAAGATATACCTTTCATAATATGCTGTATTATAATTTTATCTTACTCTTATTTAATCATTAATACTAATGAAATGCATAATGAAATTAATAATAATATGTCTTATGAATAAATGTTGTGACTGGACAGTGATGTAGCTAAATTGCCTATTCTAATCGCCGGGATGATATATTCATATGACAATAATTAAAACCTTTACATTGCAACATAATTACACAAATTATCATAGGTATTTACATTATGTCTCGAGCAGTTGTTTTAATAAACTTAGGTAAATTATTATAAAATGATATCCTATTATTTAATTTTCAACACAATTACACAAGGCTCCGCAACTCACAAGGGGTTAATTAAGATTTTATATATTTTTTATTTTTATTAATATTGAAGTTACCAATAGTTAGGTAGTTTATTGGCGCACATATAAAGTCTAGACTACAGCTGATAACATACATACACAGAACAATTAGATAAAGTTATAACATTTTGAAAATACTCTTTTTGTATTTGTGTGGTTTATACTGATGTCTGCACGGTTTCCACAGTGGGTAATTACTAATTAGGTATTTGAAGGAGAAAGCTTTACCAAGAATTTAACAATGGTCCGGTTTCAGTAAATAAAATACATCCATATAATATAATTATTGTATACAACTGTTATTTATTTTTATTGATTGTAAATAACCTACCGTGCTTATCATTTAGCATCTATTATTTTATAGCTTTGTGAATCATTTAAATTTAATTGAAAAGCTGATATTTATTTGGATATACGCCTCAGTCGATCGTAAATAATTCGCCTCAAAACCGTCAATGGCAATCATTTTTTTTACATGATAATTGATCGCAAGGACAGTTTATCGTAAAATTATTCAATTGTGGATCAACTATAATATTATCTTACCCAAATTTAATTAGTCGCTCCGTTGCTTATAGATTAATAACTTGGTAGTTAATACATAACAATATAAAGTAATGTAATCATGTAATGTAAATTACATAATTAAGTGTAGACATTATGCATTAACTAATATCTATAATAACAGTAATGTGACCTAGTGTGGCGTGGTGGTTGGCTTTAGTCACACACGTGTTCTGAGACCAAGCATCAGCCGATGTCGCTAGTTCTCGGATGAATGACAACCTGGGTTTTTACTAACAGATCCTCGCCACATATACACGTGTTCAAACCAACTTTACCATTCCTTACAATTAAAAACCTACGAAATAACCTATAGGTA